CATGAGTTTTGCATAATAGACATGTCCCTTGCACTTTGGTGCCCTTTGAATGGAACATATACACTCCTTTCGAACTGGAATCATGGCGGAATATCCTGTGATGTCCACTTCACAGGGCACTTACAGTCGAATAGAACAAAAAACCTCTGAAGCGATAGAAGAAACATACAAAATGTGCAGAACGGGGGGTGACTAGGACCAGGATTAAGAACCGCTGCCATACATTATGGAGACCAAATGCCCCCATAAGTATAGTAATACCAGTCAATTTTGACCTTGTGGGGATATTTTTTAGGTCCCCATGGGGAAACAAGCTTATAATTCATACAGAATGGAACTGTTTTGTAAATCTAAAAATGCTTATTTTTATTTTTATCTAGTGATTTTTAACTTTAACTTTTTTTTAAACATTATATATTTTACACAATATACATGTAGGCATAGCCTTCAATATGCACATTGTTTGTTGGACAAAACTGGCAGGATGTGAAATAACATTTCTGTTAATAAATAAAGAAAATAAAATTTGGGTTTTTATCCAAATAGAAAATTATAGAAAATACACAGATATACATTGTATATGATTGTATTTATGTGTTTGTTTGTTTTAGATGACATAACCATTCACAATTAACTTCATATTCTGACAAAATAGAACTTTATTGCTAGTATTTCACTGAAGTAGGTTTGTAGTGGTATGGCTCATCAGGCAGTTTCAACAAACCTCTTTCGTTAAAGGAATACTCAAAAATGAAGATTCACTTATCAGTACTCACCCTCATGTCACTCCAAAACCATAAGGCTTTCATTCATCTTCAAAACACAGAATAAGTTATTTTGGTAACACTTTCTATGAAGCCCATATTTATAATACATTATAAGAGTATTCTTAAGACATTATAATGAATGCATAATGCATTATAAAAACCCTTATAATATGTTATATCATCTTATGAATATTCATAAGAACAGTTATAATGTTTTATATTATTTACTTATTTGTGGTTATAGCTTTTAAGACTATGATGATTTATAACACACAGTGAACATGTTGCATCCACTTAAGTTACAATGGATTATATTTCTCATAGTTATAATGTATTATAAGTCTAATATCTTGCCATCTTTCTTATGCTACTTTACTTAAAGCCATCAAAAACCCCTTATAAGTATAGTAATAATAAAAAAAAAATTCTCAAACAGCCATAAGATCAGATATCAGATCAGATGAATGTGTAATAATAAGACATATTTGCTTTGAACTGTTTTTAATGTAATATCAGTTTGATTATTTTGACGGTTCCCCAACAGACAAACTGACTATAACTAACTTTGCAAGTACGCCAACATTCTACCAACCCTAACCTAAGCCTATTAATACTCTAATGAGAGTTAGTTGACATGTAGTTGCAAAGTTGCTTATAGTCAAGGGGGGTCATGAAAATAAAATTTTTAATGTAATATCAGTTTGATTATTTTGACGGTTCCCCAACAGACAAACTGACTATAACTAACTTTGCAAGTACGTCAACATTCTACCAACCCTAACCTAAGCCTACTAATACTCTAATGAGAGTTAGTTGACGTAGTTGCAAAGTTGCTTATAGTCAATAGACCAGGGGGACCATCAAAATAAAATGTAACCTAACATAAACATTGCATTTTTTTTCAGATGAAATTATTAACTAGCTCACATTAAAATTAATATTAGCCTCACAGGGAACACTCAAATAACACTCCACACCTAACCACTTACAAGATGTAGTAAGATACTGTGCAGATCTTAAATAAACAATGTCAAGATATATTGTTACGGGGTGAACAAGACGTGAGATGTGCGGATCCATATGCAAGGCTTTATTAAAGGGTGTGGTCATGAAACAGGCATGGGTCAGACAATGGCAAAGTATATTAAGGGCAAGACAGAGGAGTAATCTAAAACGGGCGTGGTTGATCAGCGGCTAACAATATCCAGAGGGCTAAACACGAGGGGTTACCCAATAACTCGAGCTAGAGTCCAAGCGAGGTGCAAACACAGTCCAAAACAGCAGTCAAAGGGTTAATCCAAGATAAACAGGCAATAATCAGGTAACACTGGAAAGCAGGCAAGACAAGAAGACGTGAGATGTGCGGATCCATATGCAAGGCTTTATTAAAGGGTGTGGTCATGAAACAGGCATGGGTCAGACAATGGCAAAGTATATTAAGGGCAAGACAGAAGAGTAATCTAAAACGGGCGTGGTTGATCAGCGGCTAACAATATCCAGAGGGCTAAACACGAGGGGTTACCCAATAACACGAGCTAGAGTCCAAGCGAGGTGCAAACACAGTCCGAAACAGCAGTCAAAGGGTTAATCCAAGATAAACAGGCAATAATCAGGTAACACTGGAAAGCAGGCAAGACAAGACTGTGACTAGGAACTAAGGACTAGAAACTAGGGCAGGAAACTGGCTCCGTAATGTGCTACCACTAGGAGAGTGATAAACGCAAACGATACTCAGCGTTGAATGGTGGTGTGAGACTGATTTATATAGTGTGTGTTATTGGTAGCAGGTGTGTGTGATTGGTTTCAGATGAGCTTGTGATTAGTGCAATGGAGCATGGGAAATGTAGTCCAGGGTGATGTGTAACAGTTTGTGTAGTGCGAGAGTCAATGTAACGGAAGGATGACCTCTGGTGGTGATCGAACGGAAGACCATGGACAGGATTCGTGACATATATAGTCCATTATAAATGTAAAAATAGATTTTATATGGTGTTCATTGTGTGTTATAAATAATCATAATCTTAAAACATAACCACAAAGGAGTAAGCATTATAATGCATTATAATTGTTGTTATGATTATTTATAAGATGATATAACATATTATAAGGTCTTTTATAATGCATTATGCATTCATTATAATGCCTTAAGAATACCCTTATAATGTGTTATAAATATGGGCTTCATAGAAAGTGTTACTGTTATTTTTTATGAAACTTGAGAGATTTCTGTCCCTATACACAAAGGTCATGCAGCCAAAACTTTGACATTTCAAAAATGTTACAAAAAATATTAACATTTAGCAAAATTTCTAAAGTGAAAAAAAGGCTGTTTTGCAAATATTGGAAATTGGAACACGCCAAAAAGCTGGTACATTTCAGAAGCCCCTTTTCAAAAACTTGTGAAAGCATCTTTTGTTACCGGCAGTTAAGTTTTTGGTTGATTTGTGTTCCTCTTTTTCACCCATCTGTATCTTCTCATGCCTTTCAATAAACCCTGTTGAGATCACTGTCTCTCCATGATAGAAGACCAGACAATCATCACTATGTGCACAACAACGTCTTTCACTGCAGCAGCTTTGTCAAACTCTCGCTGCTCCACTGCATTCTAAAGCCAAAATGTGACCACTTTCTCATCTACCTCACCTCCATCTCCCTTGCTGCACCACAGTTCTACGCCAGGTCACTCCAGTGCCCTAATCGGGAGTGACAGAGGATTGCAGTAACTTTCTCCTTCACTGTTTGCTCCAGTTAAAGATGCAGTCACAGTGCTTTCCCATAGTTTGAGACAAAATTGTGTTTGTCATCTCTCTGCTCTCTGGAAGTATTCTGCAGTTGAACCATCTACAAACCAGACCCGGTCATCCAATTACTCACGCAGCCAGGCAATCTGAATAACTGTACCGTCTGTGCCAAGGAAATTCCTCTATAACTGACTATGCTCTGCACTTCTGAACCGGTACTGGAACCCTCTCTCTGGCTGTATCTCACCACCCACAATGATGTTATGGGCTGGAGCAATTCATTCAACTGTATTTCATCTGTGCCTCCCATCGCAAAGCAGTCACCAACTTGACAGCCCTGCAGTCACTGCCCATGGCTTGCTTATCACACCCTCCAGAGCCTTTCGAGGAGCCTATGCAGATTAATTCCTTCTGACTCTCCCAGACCAAATGACAACAGAAAATTGTAAATAGACTGCCTTTATTGTATCACCACACTGCTCTGATCAATCTGCACATTGGATGCCTTCACTCTGAAACCATCACCTTCCTGATTCTGGAGGGCTCAACATCAGATTTCATCCTAGGAAGTCTCTGACTCCCATGGAGGAGTGTGTAAAGGAACTCTAACAGGGTTACATCCACTCTTCAACTTTCCCTGCCTCTTCCATTTTCCTCTGTTTGGCTTGAGGCCATAAATTGACTACTGCACCCTCAATGACATCACCATCAAATTCTGATATCGTCTTCCCCTGGTCCTGGCAATCCTGAAACAGCTGCAAGGAGCATTGGTGTTCACCAAGCTGGACCTATGTAGCACTTACAACCTCGTTCAGATCCAGAAGGGAGACAAGTGTAAGACGGCATTTGTCACTCCCACCGACCACTATGAACACTGGATAATGACGTATGGCTTGGCCAACTCTACCTCCATGTTCCAAGGCTTCATGAATGAGGTATTCCAGGAGTATCTTCATTACTTCATCATCATCATCTGTATCGATGATATCCTTGGCTACTCCAAGAATGAGGCTCAGAAAATTGCTACCATGTAACTCTTGTACTGGAACTCTGCAAACACTTTCTGGGTTGAGAAAGTGTGAGTTCCATCGGCCTTCAGGCCAGTTTTTTCAGATATAACCTCAGCCTCAGAGAGCAGATGGGCCGGGGAAGGTCTCCACCGACCAGTCCTGACCAGTTTCATCCTCTATCAAGGAACTACAACACTTGTGTTTGTATAATCTCATCTGCCAATAAACCCTGTTGAGTTCACTCTGTCTGTGTCCATATCTCTGTGACAGGTGGTTTTGAAATACCATTACATATATGGGAAAGGATTCAAGGATGCAATACAAGAAAAGAAATGCAAAGGAAAGCCTGCAAAGGACACCCCGGCAAAATTTAGAAAATTAAAAAAAAAATAAAATAAAAAAGATGTTGCCTGGTATACCATCAAATACATGTTCATTATGCAATTATAAACCAGCACTGAAAATACTATTACTGTTTGCAGGCCATTGGAGCGAACTGTTACTCTTCACAAGGACATGAACGGGCAGCTCGGCTTTCTTTTTAAAAAGGGTCGAATCACCTCAATAGTAAAAGACAGCTCAGCAGCACGTAACGGCCTCCTTACTGATCATCAGATCTGTGAGATCAATGGTCAGAATATAATCGGACTGAAGGTAAATGACATCAGTATTTTGCATTTGTTGGTTTTCCTTCTTTCTCTTTTGCCGTCTTTCTTAAATCACAACATGGCCCTGTAAAGCACTTGATTTCAATTGAAGATACGTTCTTCTCTTTTCATCTCTTTGATTAGGATTCCCAAATCACAGACATTCTTAATTCCAGCGGAGGAGTTGTCACGGTAACTGTGATGCCAGTGGTCATCTTTGAACACATGATGAAAAGGTATGGAAAATAAACCGCGGGCGGACAAAACCCAATGTCAATCAGCAGTCTATTCATGCAACTTTACTGAAAGTATCTTTTTTTCCCCCTTCTTTTATTGCGTCTCACTAATGTATTCTTAACATTATTTTCCTCGCTGCAGGATGTCCAGCAGTATTGTAAAGTCACTAATGGATCATTCTATTCCTGAGGTGTGAGATCGTTTGGATCAAACTGTACAGCTGAGGATGATTTGGCCACAGCTTTTGGAGGACTCACATTTTGTTTGGAGCACAAGTTTAGTTGTGTGTCCACAATCATGTGATTTTAAGTATGTTTATGTACGTTTAAGAGGTTATTGTCGGGCAAAGAAAGACAAAGCAAGGATAACACGAGAGATATTTGTTTCAGTTTTTCCTTTAAATGAATAGCGTACCCAAAAATGACAAGTTCTGTAATCATTTACTTACCTTTATGTTGTTCCAAACCCATATGCCTTTCTGACGTATCACACAAAAGAAAATGTTAGGCCATATGCAAAATGTTCACACTGCTCTTTTCCTTACACTGAAAGTGGGGTTGGATGCTTTTGAACCTAAAAAGTAAAGGAAACCATTAAAGTAAAGTAATTTATTCAACTTACTGTGCTATTTTCTAACTCATATGAAGGCAAATATAATGTGGAACACATTAGAATGTAAGTCATTATGCACTGATTAAATTCACTAAGCCTCCCCTCTGCCATAGCTGTCAAATGTCATTCACACTTTTGCATATTAAAACTGGTTCATCACGATCAGTCATAACACATGCAACAACATATGCAGTTTGGCATCATTAATGTCAAAGTTGGTGTGACTTGTCTTCACACTTCATAATTATATATACATGAATGCAAATAGGGAGCTGCAGTGGAGAAGATTTTCAGCAAATAACAACTTAAGCATCAGTATGTTTTCTTATTCAAAGCTATTGTTCAGGTTCAGAAGACTTACAGCACACAGGTCATATGGTTTAGTTTTATGACATATTCATAGTGCTTTTTTGACTTGAAGTGCTCTGTCCCCATTCATGTCCTCATTTTATTCTGTAGTGTGAATATTCTGCTTAGCATCTCCTTGGGTTTAGAATAATGGTTGGAACAACATAAAGATGAGTAAATGTTGACAAATTTTCATTGTTGGGCGATGCCTTTAATTCATCTCCTTCATCTTTAGATATGTTTTGTTAAGCCTGAAGCTTATTTCAATTTCTGGCAACATAATATCTCACAAAAAAGCATTCTGAATTATCATCAACATGCATTACAGCATGCTGATGCTGTAGATCAGTCATAATAATGCTGTTAAAATTACATTCTAAAAGCCATTAAAAAAACTATGCACTGCTGAAGATAGTTTTGTATAAAAACAGTACCGAATTCAGAAATTAATTATGTGACGACTTTATGTTTAAGAGTTATAATTGCAGTACAGTTTTGTGCCCATGCATTCTTCTTGTTGTTCTTCTTTACGTTGCTAATGTTTGTGTGGCCTGTGTGGTTTGGTACTTAAACAAAACAGTAGTTTTCTTTCCTCACCAAAACTTGATTTTTTTTTTCTTGGTGTCTCTGCAGATAGGACTACACCTTTGCAGCACATTGTTTTGCTATCTTGCTATTACATGTTCATCTAAAGCCTCTTTAGACAGTGTCAGGCTGTGAATTACAACTGAAAAATCTATTATTTTCACTGGTTCCAAATAAAATTATGCATTTTATTTTTAGCAACATATTTTTTCTGTCCATAAGTGTAAAAAATAAATAAATAATAATAATAATATAAGATAATTCTATTGTTACATTTATTAAATAATTAGATTTTTAAATTGCTATAGTAATTATAATAGTAATAGTCATTATAAATTCTACTGTTTTAATATAACTCCAAAGACAGCTATACATTCATAATTTTATAGCTAAACAGTGGCATACAGTCAAAAGCAATACTTATTTGTTGATGCTTATAAAATCTGTCTTAACTGTCTTCATGAAACATCTTGCAATTCTGACAAAATATAAAATAGCCAGCTAGATAATGTTGCCTTGGTCATATATTTAAATTAGTGTTCAATACATAAAAGCAAACCACATTTTTAAGGTTGCAAGCCAAGGCATAATATCACATGTAGCTACATGACAAATGAACATAAGACAGTAAAAATACAGCACTGACTCCTACAGGACGAGTCGAATTTCCACAACTGACCCTAGTGTTTCATCAGGCATTCATTACACAAGGGATCTTCAACCTTGCTCCTGAAGAGCAACCTTCTTGCAAACCTCAGACAAAAAAAAAATGGTTTTGGAGTCATATATTTAAATTAGTGTTCAATACATAAAAGCAAACCACATTTTTAAGGTTGCAAGCCAAGGCATAATATCACATGTAGCTACATGACAAATGAACATAAGACAGTAAAAATACAGCACTGACTCCTACAGGACGAGTCGAATTTCCACAACTGACCCTAGTGTTTCATCAGGCATTCATTACACTAGGGATCTTCAACATTGCTCCTGAAGAGCAACCTTCTTGCAAACCTCAGACAAAAAAAATGGTTTTGGAAAATAAAGCATTGTTTTCTTTTTGTTGTTGTTGTTGTCGTTATAAGTTAATCATACTGCTAAACTATGCATAAATGTAAACCACTGAGAAACCACAGACGGTTGTAAGGCTAGTTAATATAAAGATTTTAATAAGTATTCTTCAAATTATAATTATATCCTCCTGAGAACCAGAAATAAAAAGCATTGTGAATTTAGTATTTTTTCATGTCATTACATTGTTTAGAGCATAAAAAAAGGTAAAATAACATTTTTGAAAAATTATATTTTATTCATAAGTTATGCTATGTCCTCTGTAGAGGACACCAGGACTCAGTTTTTCTAAAAAATAAAATGACAGGAGTAGACATGAAAAGGCAAAAACAATGGGATTTTTTTTTAAATCACCAATACATTTTTAGGTTTCAGGATTTTTTTTATAACTAACTTTGTTTAAGGATGGCTCTCAACTATGTTATAAAACATATAACAAAATGATTTGATATACCATTTTGCTTTATGCAATATGTGTGTAAAAATTCCATAAACTGGTTTTTCCATTAAGCACAATGTTATCTATACACTGTATCTAGTTTGCGTGTTAAAGTGATGTTGGGACAGCATGTTGAAAAAAGAAGTGTAATAATGGGAGTAGTAATTGGCCAGATTTTAATAATAATATCTAATATTTCATAAGAATATTGATACATAATTTGTTTTCCTATTCAATTCTTTTGTCTCCCAAAATGTATAATAAACATGCTTTTAGTCCTGGTGTCCTCTACAGTGGACATGTATGAAATTATGTCCTGTTTCATAACAGGAAGTCATATTTTGATTTGAAACCCTGAGATGTTGATTTATGACAAACAATTAGCAAATTCATCAGATTTAAATTATAATTACTAAATATTATCATATTTCCATAAGGATGTACAACTTTTTCACTAAATTAATGTCAGCCATTTTTAAAAACAAGGAGAGGGAGTGGTGATGGTGAAACTTCCAATCATTTGGTATCTCTGGAAAGCCCTGAATGTGCTCTGTACAGGACATCCAGACTTACAACTGTGACATGTGAGGTCTCAGAGAAATTCACTAAAATATAATGTCCTCTACAGAGGCAAAAACTCCATAGCTGGGTCTCAGGAGGTTAATGGTATTTTTGTTTCATATCCATCCACACTTACTAGTCTCACTCAAGCGTTAATGCTGAGCATGACTCTAGCCTTGATGCGTCCTCATAAGATGCAGCCTTCCGTTTGAGAAGCGCCCATAAAGTATTTTTTCATGATGATAAGAGCCCAATGCAACTCGCCATTAAACCCACAGAAGAAGAAGAGCCCAATGTACAGTAGGTGGCGGTATGTGCTTACGACACCAATCTGCTATTAGACCCGAAGAAGAGGAAGACAAGCCTTCTGCACAAGTCACAATTAGAAACGCAGAACTTTTAAATCGTGAGATTAACCAGTCATTATCAAGCCTCTTCAAACTCTGTTATCATGAAGCAGAAGAAAACGGCTCGCAACCAGGCCAGAAAAGGTAACGTTAATTAAGATCTCGTTTCGTACAAGTAAATTGTTCTTTATGTGGGCCCAAATGCACAGATTCAGATGCTTTTTATTACGCAATATTATTTAAATGTCACAATTCAGCTGTTACATTTGATCAAGCAATTTCAGTGTGTCATCTAGTGAGAGAATAGTTTTCGTACAGAATGGGGTGGATGTTTAATGACAAAGGTTGCAAAGATGAAAGCAGTATGCACACCCTTTCTGATACTGTGTATAACTTATCGGAATTGCAGTTCTCTTACCAGAAACTGTGACAGCATTATAGTAGAGCGATGGCATGTGATTGGTACTTAATATATGTACCATACTTTAATGTGGTAATCATTCACTGCCATGGCATTTACATGTTACTCCTACTACTTTATTACATATCCGTACGATCTTACCATGGCCTTTTTTTATTTTAATACCTTGTGGCAAATTTTGTTAGTTAGACATATGCATTATTAATAACGAGTTTAAAATGTTCTGCAGTGATTTTTACCGATTTAAAGATCCTGACAGAGTTGAAGTCTAACAGGCTCCAAGCGGACAGGGCAAGTAGGAGGAATCAAAGCTCCTAATGGGTTGTATGTATCTTGGACTCCGATTGATTTATCATGGAAAAAAAGGAAAAGTATATTTATTGTCAGTACGTTTTCATTAACTGTGTTTCCATGCAACCAAAAAGTTCTTTAGTGTCACATTGTTGACTCATTTGGACTGAAACGCCTTATTTTGATTGAGCTTGATTTGAATGAAATTTTCATTAGATTGGAAGGAATGACCTAGGCCTAAAACAATAATATGATCAACAGGGGGGAAAAAAAAGTAAGCAAAAGTTAAAACATTTCATAAAATGATGAAATTGTGCCATTAATGAACCCCTAAACTGCAGGCATTTAAACAACATGCCGTTTCAGCCATCTAGCATTGTTTAAAGGTCCCATATTATCAAAACTGAAATTTCCTGGCTTTTTTTTCACGATTACTGAGGTCTAGGGGCTATTTAACTACCACATAAGTTTCAAAACAGTCAGTCCACTGTAAAATTCACACAGCCTGCTTAAAGTTCTAGCTATTTTTCACGAACTGTTGTGACTTCCGTAAAAAGTTGACATCAGAGCTACACAGTCACCGTCTTCAGTCCCCACCCCGAGCACCGCCCACCGTCCCACTCTCCATTTGCCAAACCCCCAGACAACATCGCGTCCATGCTTTTGCTGAGCAAGGACAACACGGAAACATGTCGAAAAGGTTAACTTTAACCATGAAACCAGATCGGCCGACCTGTAACGTTTCACGTTATACTCAAAGGATGGACGATCTGACAGGATTGTTACTATGAGGTGGATCACATCTAAAGTGTCTAGTAAAGACAAACTCACCGTGTCCATCTAGTCATGATGAAGATGTATATATTTCAATTTCAGCAGGCAACTATTTTTACAGCTACACTATTGTTCCAGCCACAGTTAAGCACAACAATGTATATACAATTACAAATGATTATATATAAATCGTCAGTTTGTTGTTTTACACACATGCACACAGATATTATTTCATACAGGACATTAACTGTTAGTCATGAGATGCAAGAAACATAGACATATGGCAAGAAATCTGTAGACGCGCCCATAACAACAAAAGACAATACTTTATTGAACCTTTTCTGATAAGAAGTGTGAGCTGCAAACGCAAGCATTTTTGATGATCGTTTCTGTCCAGTCTGCTCGTTTTATCGCGTTTAACCACATCTGTCATCGTTTTTTTGTCTGGCAGTGGTAGCAGATATGTGATCAAATTTCTAATTTGAGGCTGTATTATGTCGATTCTGGCACCCAACATCACAACAAGATGATATTTTAAGCTCCTTATGTAGCCGAATCTGCGCTGGTTTGAATGGGCCGCCTCCAGTTTCCCCTGTTTTGCTGCCTCCAGCTAGCGCTGTGACGTCGCTGACCCTAATTATCTGTGGTTGGCCTGGCCGTGCGTCACTCAGAAAACAACAGGCCAATCAGAAGAGAGGCACATGAATATTAATTAGACAGACCATAATCGACCTGTTCTCAGCAGAGCTTCTGAGAAAGGAGCTGTAAAAATATATTGAGATGGTTTTTGGTACTTATACCGCAAATATATATTCTTAAGGACATCAAAACCTCAAATAAAACTCCAGAAAGATGTACAATATGGGACCTTTAAATAAAACATAGCTTCTAAAACAGCTTCTGGTTTTCAATTTTGGTCCCGGTGCCCCATTGCTCTGCACATTTTGTATGTCTCTTATCGAACACGCCTAATTCAGATCAACATCATCAGTAGGAGAGAGCTGTACATACTGAGTGTGTCAGGCACAATGGGCCTAAACGTTTAGGCAAATGTAATGCCACTAGACAAAAACACAATAATGACAATCAAGTTGTTAGAAATTAAATAGGCAAAGTACAATAAAATGTCCATGACATTAAGTTTTAAATAGCTGTTTTAATAGTCACTGTTTTCTTCCATTGTCATGTTTTTCTCTGACCAGAACTCCATAGTGAATCGCTTGAAGGTTTCTGTCTTCTTTCTTCACAAGTCTCTCCAACTCTGAGGCAAATGACAACATTCCGAATGAACAAAATCAAGTCCCACTCTGCATTTTTTTTCCCTCATTCAAGAATTAATTTCACATAGATGCACAGGGGTTGGACATCTCAGGCTTTGATAGCGGCCTTCAGGTCATCTGCATTGTTGGGTCTGGTATCTATCATCTTCCTCTTGACAATACCCCATAGATTCTCTACTGGGTTCAGGTCAGGCGAGTTTGCAGGCCAATCAAGCACAGTAACACCATTGTGCATAGAATTTATTTAATACACGAGTTTCACAATTTGAGTTGAATTACTGAAATAAATGAACTTTTCCACGACATTCTAATTTATTGAGATGCACCTGTATGCAGCATTATCCCATAGATTAAACTGGAGTAATGAGTCTACAAATAAAAGACTCATTAAAGGAAGGAAACAGCTTCTCACTCTTATTTTCAAAAGCTTCCCCCAGTTGTTTGATAATATTTAAAGGGATAGTTTACCCAAAAATGAAAATTCTGTCATTAATTACTCACCCTCAAGTCGTTCCAAACCCGTAAGACCTTCGTTTATCTTCAGAACACAAATTAAGATATATTTGATGCATTCCGAGAGCTCTTTGACCCTCCCATAGACAGCAAGGGTACTACCACGATCAAGGTCCAGAAACGTAGTAAGGACATCAGTAAAATAGTCCATGTGACATCAGTAGTTGAACCGTAATTTTATGAAGCTACAAGAATGCTTTTTGTGCGCAAAGAAAAGAAAAATAACAACTTAGTTCAGCAGTTCTTCTCCTCCTCATCCAATCTGCTGTGGCTTGCCTCCATTTTGGAGAGTATCACGACCATAGACTGTATAAAAACATGGACGTAGTGTCCGTGACGTCACCCGTAGGTTTCTGAAAAGCGTTTTTGAAACTCAAAGTGGGTGGAGCGGGCCGTCGCCATCTTGGCAGCGCGTCACTCCCGGATAATCGAAAATGGGCAAAGAGGCGGGAGCTGGTTGCTGAAACCACGCCCACCTAGCTCGACGGCGGTGACAGCAGCGGCAATCCACCTGTCACTCAAGTCGCCACGCCCTTAATTATGCAGAACTTTAAGACTTAATATAATTTAAACGGATGAGTTATAAAAAAATTCTGAAGATGAATGAAAGTCTTACGGGTTTGGAATGACTTGAGGGTGAGTAATTAATGACAGAATTTTCATTTTTGGGTGAACTATCCCTTTAAGCCAGGTGACCTAGCCAGGGCAAATGTTCATCTTAATGCTCCAAATGTCCAAGTTTATGATCATGACACTATCTTTTTCACATTTTGGCATTAGTGATTTAACACCAAATGATTTAACTGTTAAGGTTACAGACTGCTAAATAGAGCTGTCGCGATAACCGCAATATCGCAGTACCGCGCTATTGACGAGCAAACCGCAGAGGAGTGCAAGAACTGCAGCAACCGCGATTTTTGCGTGTTTTATTTTTTTCGTAAGGTTATGCCCTTCTCGTAAGGTTATGCCCTTCTCTACACTTCATGCATGTGGACTAAATATTAAACAAGTTAGTAATGATAACATAATGTGTACCATGCTGATTTGTACAGAGGCTCCGTAGATTAGATCGACTGAGCGCGTGCAAATACTTGCGTCTGTCCTCCAGGCCGAGTCATATATATTTGTGAAAATAGGTTGTCATGTTCAAGGAAAGCGAAATCTCTGTCTTAGCATCTACGCATAGCTGGTCAGCTGAGCCTTCTAAAGTGTCGCTCAAAGTTAAAATGATTTCAACAGCGTGTTTCATTAAGTCTCTTTGAAAGAATGAATCACTACACTGTAACTGCACTGACTGACAGTCCGTCTAGAACGCACGCTGGAGGAAATATCAATAGAAAGTCTCTTGTCTAGTCAGATTAGAAGATCAGATTACAACTAGGCTAACTGCTATACATATAGGCTAATGATAGCCTAACGATCTTATTGTCAGGTTTATGTTCTGTTATGTGGGCCGTTATTTTGTCATCCTCTTCTGTTTACTTCACTTCCTGTTTCAACGCTATTTGGTTTCGGTTTCATTGACTTCTGAATATGACCTCGTTAGTTATATCGTAACACATACACACACAAATTATATATATATATATGGCGGTAATACTGCATACCGCGCTATTGAGCCACTCAAAATTACCGCAAGGGAAATTCCCTCACCGCAACAGCCCTACTGCTAAATGGGCTTACACGATTTGCCTTTTCAGAAGTCTTTGTCACTCATTTCACCCATGGCTTGTACTAAACACTTCTGAACACAACTTACACTACACTAATATACATCCTAGAGAATATAAACAGCAAAATCTATAAATACATGGTCTTCTAAATACTTCAAATTGGTGTGTTGCTGCATAAATGTCAAGTTAAAT